ATATATATATATATATATATATATATATATATATATATATATATATATATATATATATATTTGTGTATAGCAGAGATACCACCAGACCCCTACTATCTTTAGACAACATGACACTCTATCTAAACTGAATGACCTTTGCATGTTAGTTGGTAGTTGTGTTACCTCTTTCTCTGTTTTTAGATTACATAAAGTTCACCACGTCATTAGCAATAAGAACAATAATATCTAAATGTTGCCTCAGACTAAGATTATTCCACCACCTACTTGACCTTGCTCTTTGATAACTGAGTTACAACAGTGAATGGGAGATTTTAGGTTGAGTTTGTTGTCTTTTCTCTGTAATAATATGTTTCTACTTGTTTTGGAAATGTTTCTTTATGTTTTTATAATACCACACATTTTTTTTTATACGGGTTTGTTCTAAATATGATGGATCTGCCGTTATACCCACAGTGCTATTATGAATATTATTAAAGTTTAAACGGCAAACTAAGAGGCATGAGTCAGAGGGCACATTTTAGAATTAAGATTTAGCATACTGTATCTTGTGAACAAAAAACAACATTAAACATTCACAGACAGCACAACCTTATAAAACTTCAAAGTTACTTTTGAACTATTTGCATAATGATTTTTATGTCAACACCAATTATTAATATATGTTTAGTAGCATTTAATACATTGGAATTAAAAAAACAGATCATTAAAGAACTACAGCTAAATAATATAAATTAGCTACTAATGATGTGTAAGGTAATAGAAATGAATACAAAATATTTTTACTATTTTTTCACATGTTATATTTCTAGGGAAGAGGATTAAGGCCACTAGGAAAAAAAGTTAACTGATTTTTAATTTTCACTTCAGTTCAATATGGGAAAAAAGTCAGAATTCTAATATTAAAGTCAGAAATTCTGAGATTAAAGTCAGAAATCTGAGAAAAAAGTAAGAATGCAAAAAAAAAGTCAGAATAATTAGAACAAAAATTCTGAATGCTGAGAAAAAAGTCAGAAATCTGAGATTAAAGTGAGAAATTCTGAGAAAAAAGTCCAAATTTGGAGATTAAAGTCAAAATTCTGAGGAAAAAAAGTCAAAATTTTGAGGAAAAAAATCAGAATTCTGAGATCAAAGTCAGAATTCTAATATCAAAGTCAGAAATTCTGAGATTAAAGTCAGAATTCTGAGAAAAAAGTCAGAAAGCTAAGAAAAAAGTCAGAATACTTAGAAAAAAATTCTGAATGCTGAGAAAAAAGTCAGAAATCTGAGATTAAAGTGAGAAATTCTGAGAAAAGTCAAAATTTGGAGATTAAAGTCAAAATTCTGAGAAAAAAAGTCAAAATTCTGAGAAGAAAGTCCAAATTTTGAGGAAAAAAGTCAGAATCCTGAGATTAAAGTCAGAAACTCTGAGAAAAAAAATCAGAATTCTGAGATTATAGATTAGATTAGATGAGCTTTATTGATCTCACAGCGGATAAATTAGAAGGTAAATAAGAAGGTGCAAACAAGGAGGAAAAGGTGAATCAGGAATAAAAACAGAATAAAAATAAATAATATAAAATAAGAAAATAAAAATAAGAAATAAAAAAATACAAAGTAGTAACACAGAGATTTGAATATAGTCAGAAATTCTGAGAAAAAAAAGTCAGAATTCTGAGATTAAAGTCAGAATTTGGACTTTTTTTCCCATATTAAACTAAAATAAAATTTAATAATCAGTTAATTTTTTTTTTTCTTTTAGTGGCCCTAAACCCCATTCCGTATATTTCTGTGTGTAACACAACTGTGAAATAATTACATTATTTTTAATGATTCATCTGACATGTGAAAACCAGGAAAACTGAAAATTAGAACATATTTTCTGAAATTTCAAATAAGCACAAATAAAACAAACAAAAAAGCTCTGTCCCAAATTACCAAAGGCTGCATTTAGGTCTCATTTTAATAAAATATCAAACACACTAGATTCCTTTCATCCCAAAGCTGATTAGTGCTCTTAGGAGTTTTTTTGTTGTTGTTTTTTTTTGCTTGTTTTTTTTTTCGTATTTGGGGAAAACAAATGTGCTGAGCAAAGAACTTTGAAAGAAGACCTCAAGTCTGACGCATTTACGGAAAACGGTTTATTTTTATTTCATCCCGTATTTAGCTGCAGTGAGCTCCTCTGCAGCCTTCGCCTGTCTCCTCTCACGACCCGTCCGCTGCACCCATAATTCCCCGCTCCGGGACAAGATGGAAGAAAGCAGCAGCCGCCGGAGAACAATGTTTTGGCTATAAACCCCCATCAGCGGCGAATACAGACACAATATAGGCACGTTTGAAACTAGCTGCGGCCATGCGTAGGTGAGTGGGAAGCCAAACTGCATTTTATTGACGTCGAGCTTCGGACCTTTTGTCGAGAATTAGGCGAACAATTGCTCGGCTAAGCGCAAGCAGGAGATGCACGGAGTCGCAGCATCATTGTTTCTGTTGCCTGGGCCCTAATGCGGCTCTCAGACAGGGGCAGCTAAGAAGCTAACCTGCTAGCTCGTGGCGGCTTGATTGTTATAAACACAACTCCCCAGAAGTGAGTAGTTTTAATTCTGTTCGGCCTTTTTAGAGTTTAAAAATACTCGAAACCCGTTAATTACACGGGATTTCACTGAGCACTCGGTCTGAGTGGGATTTATCCGTTGATAATTAAAGCTTTAGTTAGCTATCAATAAATAGAGCGCCAGCGCTGCTCGCAGCCAGACAGATTTGATTTCACGGGCGTCATCAAAGCTGGGGAATTGGAGAATGAGCAATACTTCAAAGCAAACGTGCTATTTCAGCCACTTTAATAAAGCGAGCCTCAAATTCCCCCCAAACTATCCAGTTTGTCTCACTTTATGGGTGCTTTCTAAAAGTATTACTTTCTCAACGGGTTAATAATAGAGTGATCTGCATTTAATCACGAGCCCTATTTAGCTTTAGCTAGCTTAATAGCAACTCCAGGTAACACGCTTAAACACTACATTGTTGTTTTTTTATTTTCTTGTTGATTATTTCAAAGATGAATGATTTGTCTTTACTTTTAAGATTGGCATAGGTTTATTTGAAGGATAAAAAATTGGTTTTAAGGTAACAGGATTGATTGTTTTGGTTGAGGACGCAGAGATGCTTTGATTGTCTCATTGTAGCAGGCTAACTATGCTAACTAGCTGGCTAACTATTATGCATCACAAAAGCTCATCCGTTTTCTGTTCGTGCTGCGTCGCTTTGCCAAATGGTCACCAGGTCTAGACTAAACAATAAACTCTTCAGTCGCTCTGTACGTGTTTAGCTACACGTCTGACTTAACGCTGTCTAACATAACGCAGAAATGTATCCTCGGATTTGACCTAAATATTGTTTTGTTGTAGGCAAGGGTGCTGAAGCGATTAATTTGTCCGTGTGATCGAGCCAGTCTCCTGAGTTTTGTTTGCATTTTTTTCCTTTCTTCCCAATCTAAATCAGCATGTTTTAGGTTCCTTATGGGGGGGAAAATGGATGTGCATTAAAAGCAGTAAAGGCACCACAGCATTCATATTTTGGCAACAGTCCATGTCACATGTGGCGTTGAATTTGGAACAATACAAGCTGGATTAAACCTTCCAGATATCATATTAGGTTGTTTTGGTTTTTTTCCTGTAACATTTTGCACTTCTGCC